GCGATGCTCCAGTTGCTCCTGGACGATCGCGCAGGCGCTGTATGCGTCCTGCGCATGCGTGGAAGCGCAGAACTCATCAAAACCGGGTAAGAAACGCAGGCAGGCAGGCGCACCCTTTGCCGTTCCCGGAAGTTACTTACTTCCAGGTTCGGCGACCAACCGGTTCGCAGGGACCGCCGCGAACCGGTTGAAACCTACCCCTGATCTGCACCACACACACAGACATACAGACCGCTAGACACACAGGCAGACACAAACACACACATACACACCTCTTAATAATCAGCAAACAAGCGTTCACTAATACAAGATTCTTTTTTTTTTTTGCTTCTTTAGACTAGAAAGTGCCTGTTCATCTCATGTTTGCTGCGTTTAAATCCGCTGCAAAAATGCCTGAATTTGCACTGCCATAAAAACTTGGGAAATTTTGAAAGGAGGAGGGGAAAGTTGCTTTTTAAAAAAAAAAATAGGAAGAAAGAAAAAAGCAACCCTGAGCGCAGAGTCTAGGCTAGAATTCCAAAGGAAGTTGAGGGCCTCTAGCTCAACACAGGAAACGGTCTTGGAGCAGGCCTTAAATGCTAGATTCCAGGCAGGGTTTAACTAACCACTGACAGCTCTGTAAACAAAGCCGGGACAAAAAAGAGAACAGCTTTCCCTTTTCTGGTAGTCATTTTTACTTGGTGGGCCTGCAGGAGAATTCTCCTATATTTGTCTCGATAGGATATAAACCAAAGCCTGAAAGGGTTTTGCGCATGAAGGAGCTATAAAGGAGCAAGTATTTTATGGAGTAAAATCTGACAACAAGAAGGTAGGTGCAGCTTTAAATTGCAGATGCTTCGAACTGCCCAATTCTTTTTTTTTCCTCCCCACCCCTCCCTGCATATCTCAAATGTTGGTTTTAATTTTTTTTAAAAGGAGGATTTTAAGGGGGTGGTGGTGGTGGTATTTTAACCATTTGCCTCTTTTGACGGCAGACTTTCAATTTTTAACCTTTCCAAAACGCACGTTTTTAGCTTTGTGCTTAGCAGAGAAAGTAGCGTTAAAGTGCAAGATAATATTGGGTGGTTGGAAAACTGTTTTTTGAGCGTTACGGATTCTTTTCTGACTGTTGGACATCTGCCATGGTGCAAACCTGAGGCTACAGTGAAATTAACCTTCTTTGTGCGTCCAGTTATAGCGGCAAATGTGCCCATCTCCCTTAAAATTGTCATTATTCTTTTGCTAAACGTGCCGAGTGGGAGGAAGATGCCAGGAAGAAGCGTAAATAGTTCTTTTAAGACGTACAGACCCCTATCTGCTTCTTTCATCCCAAATGTTACAGCTTTGTTTTAATTTCCAGCGAGGGAGACGACTCCCAAAGCGGAACTTGCTAAAAACCTTTAATAAAATGTTTGTGTGATTCTGGAGAATCCTTTTAACTGTGGATGTGAACATGACTATACTTGGATATGATTCGTTTCCATCTCTAGTTCTGACTTTCTCTCTCCCCCCTTCTCTTTCTCTCCCTTTCTCAAATTCAGTCTGATTTGGGGGATTTATCTGCACTTGAATATATATCATGGACGACTTTGAACGTCGCAGAGAACTTAGGAGACAAAAACGGGAGGAAATGCGGCTGGAGACAGAAAGGTGGGTAATATTTGAGAACATTGACTGTGCCTGATTTTTTAATATATTTTTTAAAAAAAAGCATTGACTTTGAAGCTTCATCCACTTAATAATCCAGGTGGAAACCAACATACTGCGTGGTCCAGATGTTTGCAAAAAAACAAACAAACCCCAAACCATTAAAGGTGCCTCTTCGTGAAGGCTTTCTGCAAATTTTGTGTGGCCTGAGTTGTGCCTTCGGAGGGAATTCCTGAACTGGAAGAGGCTACGGGAGGCAGATATGAAGCTTCTTTAGTGTTTATTGGTTTTATTAGAAGGGAGCAGGAGGAGCTGGTAACAGCCCAGTTCAAAGTGTCTAACCACTATTAGGTAGACGTGGTTATGTTGGATAATTATGGAGGATGCTTGATAGCCTTTGAACACTTTTAATGTGTTCCAATAGGGGACGCGGTGGCTCAGTGGCTAAGATGCGGAGCTTGTCGATCAGAAAGGTCAGCAGTTCAGCAGTTCGAATCCCTAGTGCTATGTAACGGAGTGAGCTCCCATTACTTGTCCCAGCTTTTACCAACCTAGCAGTTCGAAAGCACGTAAAAATGCAAGTAGAAAAACAGGAACCACCTTTGGTGGGAAGGTAACAGTGTTCCGTGCGCCTTTGGTGTTTAGTCATGCTGGCCACATGACCACGGAGACGTCTTCGGACAGCGCTGGCTCTTCGGCTTTGAAACAGAGATGAACACCGCCTCCTAGAGTCGGGAACGACTAGCACATACAGTATGTGCGAGGGGAACCTTTACCTTTAAATATTGTTTATTAATTATTAATGCAGACAAGGTCTGATTTTTGTGAAGTCTCTCAGATTTAGNCGTCTTATACTCCGGTGCGTCTTATAGTCCGAAAAATACGGTATGCAATACTTACATGATGGAAAGCTGAATACATCATGTATACTATAGAGGCATGCACACAATTCAAAGGTGCACATTTTTGTAGCTTAAAGAAATGTGATGAAAGTGGGACAGTATAAATTAGACAGAACTGATTAGAACCACAAATAGACCGATATAACAGTAGTTCTTGACTTACGACTAATTGAACCTGAAATTAAGGTTGTGGTGGTTGTAAGTTGAAGAACCCCGTGACTGGATTTGAAGTTACAACTGTTTTTTATGACAGTCATTAAGCAAACACTCAGAGAGGCAGAAACTCACCCCTCCCACACACACCTTTGTTAATGGGCCATTAAAGCCTGGGCCAGTCTATTCCTCATAACAAAGATCTATCCCATTTTATTGCCCTTCATTGCACCACCCACCAAGTTTCAACCAAATTTAGCACACAGACAACCTACAAAGCTATGACCTCTGACAGCAACCAATCAGGATACTCTTCCTGTGCCCCAGGAAGTTCAAAGCCCAGAGAGGGCATAAAACCCTTATTCTTTATTTATGTATCCCAAGTTGTTAATCTAATTTTTGGCCACTACCAGGTAGCCCATATGCATCCATAGGGCTGAATGAGACATATATTGATTTAACACCGCCTATCATTAGAAGGTCTTGAAAGACTTAACGATGGATAGTTAGAAGAATGAAGGGAAGGGCTGAATGAAAAACAAAAGTGTATATTCACATGACTTAATATGTTTATTTTGCTTGCGGTCCCAAATGAACTGTTCTTTTTGGAAAGAAGCAAGTTTTTTCATAGATTTTTTTTTTAAAGACTGATGAAGAAGTTCAGTATTTGCAGTGAAGATCAAAATGCTGCCAAGTTTCCACTCAGGACGCAGCAGATGTGGTTATTTAAAAGGAACACCAAAGGAGAAATTGCTGAATCAAGATACACCTTATATAGACTCCTAGCCACACAAGGAAATATTAAAAAACGTTTGTATTTTGCTTCCATCTATTCATCTTGTAACCCAGATCTGTGGGTGTAGTTAAACTGGTTGGTAGGGTGGAATGAGGTGGTAATGGGTAACATAACTGCTAAGTCTGTTAAAACGGAAGATTTCTCTTATGCATGCTGGACTTCTTTTTCATACTGTATCTTCTTTGTCAGTCACAGCAGTTTTCATAATTCAGGGAGCAAGGTAGCCTGCTTATAAGAACTGGATTCTTGAGTTGGCTCTTCTCTTCCTAGTTGTTGCTTGCATCCTATTCTGCCTTAGGCAATGTAAATGGTTTGAAGAAGGGGTAGCAGCAGTGGTGGGTTTCAAAAATTGTTTGAACCTACTCTGTGGGTGTGGCCTCCTTTGTGGGAGTGGCTTGCCACCCATGTGACCGGATGGGAGT